AAGAGATCTGAAGTGGAGACAAAGACAACGTGTCCTGCTTCAGACCTTGCCTACAAAGTATGGATTGTGTGGGATGTGTGACAGAAACCGCACGCCAGCAAACATGGCTCCATTCCCACTTTCACGTGACTGTTTGTATGAGGGGGAAAAGGACTATGGAAAATGTATTAGGTTATGTTTTGAGAACTTGTTGGCTCTCAGTTTGCTCCAAAACTCATTTCAGACTGCTGTAGTTAACAGTTACAGCCAAAAATGATCTGCATCCATGTAGTCTGTTCAAGGCTGGACAATCCATTACATGAAGTGAAGGGACTGGCTCAGGCAGCAGATACTGTGGAACAGTGGTGAGGTGTGGAGGATAGAGCTTATGGGTGTTACCAAGCATGTCCTCAGCTACAATTCTATTTTCAGGAGTTGGTACGCAAGGCATTGAAGCTAGTTTCATCATTCAGCTCAATTTCCCATGCGGAATGAGAGAAAGATAGCAGAATCCCTGGGAAGGTCCTGAAGGGAAAATTTTTCATATATGAACCTCCCTGTCCTCTGAAATCTCCAGGATACTATCTTCCATGGCTTATAACTACAAGGCGGATGTCAGATGGCTTATAACTACAAGGAACAGGGCATTTTTGGTGGTGGCATCCTCACCTGGGAAATCTCCTAAAGCAGAACTTTCATCAGTTCTTTAAGTGCTTTCCCTGCTGCTGAACTGATGGATTAGCAGGAAAAATGGGAACACTTGGGGGCATGGCAGGGGGACAAGGGAAGTCTATTTTTTGCAGGCATAACTTGGGCCTCTGTGGAAGATATCAGGTTTGGCCTGTTGAATTTTATCCTTGGAATATTAACTGCATGTAGCCACCTTTAGTTCCACACAGTGAGAAAGGTGAGATATAAATATAATAAAGAAATACATGTCATCACAAGAATGTGCATTTTGTCATTTAAGTGACAGGCACATACACACTTTTTGGTGTTTTTGTTCAGTGTATATTAATTTAAATAGATCACATAACAAAGCAATAAATGGCTAGACTTGTATACCCACTTACATTACCGTGAAGAAATCCCTAACGAATTCAATGGAACTTACTTCTGAGCAGATGTGTAGACTTAAGCTTTTTCTGAAAACTCTGGGTTTTTCCTGAAAACTATAGAGACTGTAATCCTATGCACACCTCTGTTTTGAAAATAAACATGCAAAGGGGTGAACTGTATGTTCCAAGAAGCCCTACTAACATGAGGTCTGGTATAAATATCTAATTTTTGTTATATGTCTTATCTCAGGGATTCAAAGGTCATAGAGGCCATCAAGGTCCCCCGGTATGTATAAATGATTTCTTAATTTATAGGAATGCTATCTAATGACGGTAATCTGTTCAGTTGCCTTCTAAATTAATGCAGTTTTCTGTATTCCACCTGGTTAATACAATTAAGGCAAAATTATGAAATGCTCACAATGTCATCTGATTTATAAAACAGATTTCTGTTTGTTTTAGGAAAACTGCAAAATATAATATATACCAAGAAAAATGCATAGTTCTCTATTCCATAAAATACAAGATGATAATTTGATGAATTTTGTTGGTTTTTCTTTGTATTTGAAAAACAAAGGAACAAATATATTAAAGTCCATAATTATAAAAGCTAGAGCCATACAGTTATTAACTCAAAAATCTGCAAGTCCTCTGATGCATACATGAAGATTCTGTTTGGGTTTTATTATTTCTGCCAAGTGTTTTCAGAGCAGCTTTCAGTTCACTTTCTAATATTGCAGACATTTCTTCTTAGGGTTCCTCTTTGAAGGAATCTGTCATCTTTTGATCTCCTCTGTATAGTTTTTCTGTATATTGCTTCCATCTTTGTTTTCACCTGGTCAGATAGTATGTTCCCTTGTTTGTCTTCCAGCATAGCTAATCTAGGTTTGGATTTCTTGGAACATTATAAGAATAGTTGCTGCAATTACTTTCTCAGATGACAGAGTGGAATAAAGGGATATATGTTTGGGCAAAATATTTTGACTTAACAAGCATACTGATGGTGACTTAATTGGGAATGACTAGCCAGGAAAGTCTTTGGGAACATGGTACAAATATCGACTCCATTTACCACAGTAGTCAGACAGTCAAATTTTATGGTAGAGACTCTTACCAAAAGAACTGGGTCAACTCCTGTGTGTGTGTGCGTGTACATGCGTGTGTGTGGGTGTCCTGCTTTTACATTTGATGTGATAGAGGAACATGTCAGTAAGCTGATCATAATAGGCTTACTTCCCCTTAGACTTCTCTTTCCTGTTTTTTCCATTCTGTCCATTGTTTATTCCAGCAATAAATAGCTGGTTTTAGTTACCTGCATATGCAGTGAGTTTTATACCTATAAAGGTGTAGCTAAAACATACATTTTAGCTATGTAGATAAAACTTAGTTAAATTCCATGGAAACAACGATGAGTAAGAATAGTTGAATATACGCACACACTGCTTTCAGATGTAATGTTAAGCCATTGTTTGTTTTAAACATGGTTTGTTGAACAACCTAGGATCTGGCTCATGTGTAAGTTTTTGCTAACTGGCTAGCTTGAGTGTGTGTGTGTTTATGTGAGTATCTCTCTGTGTGTTGATTATCATTGAAAGCATGGCAAGAAAGATTAAACCCGGGGTCACATTCCTATTCTGTACTGAAGACCCCAAAAGTTCTTTAACAATTTTGGTGACAGGGAAGATTTGGTCAAAAAATTATTTCATATCATCTACTTTGGCTCCAGTCAATCTTATTTCTTGATGAATTTAAGCACTATTATTGTTGCCATAGGGAAAAAGAGGACCCCCAGGTCCCAGTGGTGTTCCAGGACATCAAGGATTTAAAGGTCCACAGGTCAGCATTTAAACTATTCAGATTTCTTTATAAGGAGCTTTTTGATTGGAAGTGCTAAAATGAAGAAAGGACGTCTATGCTGAAAACTACCATTCTCAAAGAATAAAAAATTGCTTGTATTGTCATACAGTTTCCACAAGGTTTTTGTTTGCATAATAAATTGATCTTATGTAAATTGCATGGAATATTTGGTTTCTCCATGATCTTGAATTATGCCCAAGTTAGGATTATGGAGAGTGTTTCAGACAAAGGAATGGGAGCTGTGATTTAGCATACTAGAACACCTGCAATGCTATTTTTCAGTTTTTCTCAGAATAAAGTTCCAACTGGAAAGATATGCTCTGCATTTTACCTAAGCATTTGCTTTCACATTTTCAAAAGAAGTTTGTGTTCTATTACAGGGCTAACCCAGTTCTATTTAGCATCTCAAGCAGGGATGGCTAAACTGAGTCCCTGGGCCTTCAGCACTTAAGGACACAATCCAGTGAAGTGCCTGGAACCCTCCAAGCTTGAAGGATTATGGGAATTCTCTGCTGGGCAGGGGTGTACAGAAGTGATGGTTGCTCCCAATGTCCTCCTGAGCTGCAAAACAGCTAGTTTCAGCTGTCTAACTGTGGAACTTAGAGAAGAATGGAAGCAAGCTGGGGCACCACAAGGAGACATTGCAGCATGGTGGCACCAGTTCCCTCCCCTCCCCTCTCTATCTGCTAAACTTCCTCTTTGAGGTCATGCTTGTGACCTTGGAGAAGCAGCTGGCACAGTTCTTTCCACACCAGGTGTGAGGGAGAGGGAGGACTTAGCTTAGGGGTGTCCAGTTCTAATGTTGGGGCACATTTCCACAGCTGGATCTGAGATTCTGAAAGATCCTATGGCTATCTAGACCCTGTCCAGCAGCCAAAGGATTGCTCTATAGGTAGCTTTAAAGACTAAAAAGAAACAAAATGAATACATGTGCATGCACAATTTTTTGACCTCAATTTTCTATTTTCTGAAATATGCTTCTAGGGTGAAAGAGGAATTCGTGGAGTGAAAGGAATAAGAGGATATCAAGGAAGTGGGGGCTTTCCTGTACGTAAAATATAACAGAAATGTCTCCTTTTTCTCCATTTGTTCTGCTTTGTAGATGAGAAAATTATGGTCTCCAGATGTTTTGGACTGTAGTTCCTCCCATCTTTCAGCACTGGCTAACCTGGATAGGGCTGATAGAAACTGCAATCCAACATCTGTTGGACTACAAATTGCATGTAAATTACCTTACAACTAAAAACCAATATGACAATCATTGTGCAATATCATGGAACAGAGGGAAACAGTAAAACTTCTGCCTTTTATAGCATGATAAAACCTTTCCTAGAGTCTTTATATTGTGAATTTTCAGAAACTGTGAGCAGCTAGTGGAGAAACTCACCTCAAATTCATTTACAAAATACCATGTGGAAAGTCTTGTACAATCTGTAATTACAATTACAAGAGAAATTCCAAACCTACTATTTTTAGGCAATGCTAGTTACTAATTATTCACCAATGTGCCCCAGCAATCATTGTATTTATTATAATGTTGGCTTTCAAATGAAAGAGCAGTACCATTGTCAACTATAATAGAAGCTCCAAACTTTGCAAGAGCCAGCACAATTTATATAGCCCTGATATACAATATTATCTGAATTTCAGTCTTATTTTATTTTTTAAGATTACATTTCCAGTCAGTGTGGATAGTTCGTCCTATTATAAATTCCACTCATGCTGTCTCCTGGGTCATTTTGATTGTGTCATTAAACAGCAATTCTGTGCCTACTTAATTGGAAGTAAATCCTATGAATTTAAATGGGAAGAAAAAACCGAAGAGTAAGAGGAGCCTGAAGTGCCTGATCCTGCCTGATCTTGGAAGCTAAGCAGGATCAAGCCTGGTTAGAATCTGGATGGGAGACTTGAGCCGTGCACTGAGCAGGGGGTTGGACCTGATGTCTTTCCAGGGCTCTCCAAGCTGCATGATTCTATGATTCACCTAAATGTACACAGGATTACAGCCAAGGCTTCAGTACTATTCCATTAGGGAGAAAGCCCCATCAATCGTAGAGAGTGGAGATTCCTAAGTCGTGATGCACCCTGAGCAACAGTCCGGATCAGTCCTGTAGGACTGTCAGCACCTGAACAAAGCTAGCAGGACTATCATGGCAGCTGTTAATCTTTCTGTGCAGCATGGATGTGAGCTCAGGGCTCTCTTGGAAGGGGTGTAAGAGGCAAATAGTAAGACTCAGGTTCTGGAAAGCAAGTTCATACATAAAGACCCAAAGAACCACATGCCATAACAGTATGGGGATTACTTTGTTCCTTTTCTCCCATGACATTTTGCTGCTTAAAGCAGAGTGAATTTTGTGTTGCTGTTTCCTAGAAGGGCCAGCACGTCCACAATTCTTGCTGCTTGCATGGCCATGTGTGTTTATAAAGAATAGGATGCTCCTGTTTGAAGGCTTCTCACATCCAAGTCCAGCTTAATATTAAGGAACCATAAAAATGAAGAATAGTGGCCCCTCTGCTTTTGATACACACCAGGTTCTCTTCTTCCCGGGTACAATGAGATGAATTTCTATTTAAATTATACTAATTATTTCTAAATTGGTATCTATACTTGTAAATTAGCATATGTATCTTGTATGCAAATCTCTATCCTAGGGTGTCCCTTTCTAGGGGTGGAGTGATGCATTGCTTCTACTTTGCCCTCTTTTTTGGCTACATGTTGGAGGTTTGCTGCAGCATTCAGGTCCCAGGTCCTGCCCCCATCTTCAGGAGCTTTCTGGAGCAGTCACTTCATCCTACTCACACTCCTGCAAAGCCCTTCAAGATCAGGATCCCTTCACAGCAGGATCCCATGAGGCTCAAAAGAACTGATTCTGCAAGGAAGCATGTTGCAGGCAGGCCCATTGCCATTTCAACATCCTTGTCCAACCTTTTGCTATACTTTTCAGTTGACAGATTCACTGTCGCAGGGTATGCTTCTCCAGGTGATGGAATATCACTATTGCTACTTTAGGATCGTCTTTGAAAGGCTGAGTTTTCTCTGCCACTTCCAGTCCCTTTCTGAAAGAGAAATGCAACAGTGGGAACTTTTCTCAACATGGGATTTTGAAAGATGCTTCATTTGCTTGTTTTATGTCTTAAACACAGATGTCAGCAGCCTATTACAACAGAATTATATAATGAAAATGTTTTTGATCTAATAATATTCCAGATGTGCAACACACACTGTGTTAATTTCCTTGTTTTATTACAGGGTTCTCTGGGAGTTGCAGGTCCAGCAGGCATTCCTGGGAAATGGGGATCCAAAGGGAATAAAGTATGACTCACAGCCTACTAGGGCATTTTGCTTTGCCTTCAGTGTTTGTGTTAGGTAAAAGGTGACATGATTGGCATTTGACCAGCCAGAGGAAGGGTATTGTGGGGTTCCCCATGCTTCAAACTGCCTGCAATTGCTCTTTAGTTTCTGTATTTGGTTTCACAAATAATCACAATAAAATCTCTTAATGAGTGCTGCTGGGGACAGACAATTTCTTAAATGTGCCCACTTGCCCATAAGCAACTAGGAATACTTAAGGGTTTGGTTTGATTTGAATTTCAAAGCAAACTGATTGTGCCCACAGGGCTAATGTGTAAATTAGAACAAAGGCCTCAGCTCAAAACTAGTATGCACCAAGTGTTTATTTTGGAATAATATACATTGAAAAAATGCATACTTTGTTAGAGAAGATGTTTAGAGATGCTGGTTTTGTGAAGACATGAATCCTGAATTGTGTTTAAGTGCAATTGCTCATACAGACAAGAGATTAATGATGGAAACAGACTTATGAATGAACTCTGACATGGAGTAGAGGTAGATTGGTTCAGTCATCCTGCCCCCCTCCCTGCCCTCCCCGCCTTCCCCACACAACCAAAATTGTTAAATGCAAAAATTGGTTTGCTTACATAACACAGACACAAAAAATGGCATGCTGAGTACAGTACATTTTTGTTCTGTCCATCCATAATCTCCCAACTTCAAAATCAGCTGCTAATTTAAGCCTCCCACCAGTCCTCAGCTGTTTTCTAAATCTCATATATCCATAATGTAAACATGCTCTGAAATTGATCAGAGGCTATTTCCAGATATATTTATCAGATGACAACCACACTAACTTTTGCCAGAATGTGTGAATGGTCACTTGTCCATTCACAAGTACAGGGAAAAAGAAGATAACTCCTCATTTCACAACCAGAATGTATTTTTTTCCTCACAGATCTGAATTCTTATTTCATTTGTGTGAAGCTGCTATGTGTTGTTTCAGATTTTCATCTTATTGCTACAGTTTTGATCTCAATTGTAATATGTTGCATGTCACACAGCACTTGAATTAATCTCAACTTCAGTATAATTTTTATATTCATTGAAAAGGGAGAGCCTGGAGACCCTGGGATAAAAGGGAAGAGAGGACCACCTGGACACCGGGGAATGAGGGTTTGTATTTGTCCTCTTGTATGCATGTCAGTCTTAACCCTAAACCTTGTTAATATTCTTGCAGTGTAGGGGAATTTATCTAGGGAGAAATAGCTGAACTGTTCCACATATGGTTCTAATTTTTCAAAAATGCCTTTGAGATATTTAGAAGAAAGAACATCTATTGTGGTGCTCTGTTTGTGAAAGTTTGGTTCATGAGTAGTTGCTAACACAAAATTGAAGCACCAAGATGGAGCATTGTGTACAGAAAGAATAAATGAAAATGAAAATAAAGCCTCCTATAATTGTCTTTTAGGGAGATGATGGTGCTATTGGTTATGGTGCACCAGGAAATGGAGGACGAAAGGTAGGTATAAAAATAATTCTTTCATTCAAATCTAAACACTTTCCCCACAGTCTTTCAAATGATTCCCAGTTAGAATGTATGAAAATAGATATGACTTATTTTAGAGGTATGGACACATCATAGCCTGCTCAAGTGTTACATTCTAATACCAAATCTTATAGCAAATGGGGCTGCTCAAAGCTAGCCATTTCTTGCATACAAGGAAGACTCTCACATGTCAATAAGTTTATAAAAGCACAATCCCATGACCAGTCATTGCTGGCTGGCCACAGGAACACTCAGAGCTCTGACTTAGGAAGCATGCTCCAAAGTTGGACCTGAGCCTCCAGATTGGGATTGCCCTCCTCTTCTCCTGCAGCTGCCGCAGCTCTATCTGCAGCTCCAGGTCTCAAGACAGACTCAGAGCTGGTGGTGGGGGTGGGGAGGGAGGGCGGAAGGGAAGGGGTGGGGCAACGGAGGCTCTCCTGGAATACTGTGCATCCCTGTGGTATTCCAGCCTCTCCTCCTTGCAGCCAGATGCGATAGGCTTAGAAGGCCACCTAAGTCTTTTGCAGGGCAGAAGTACAGAGGTGACTTTCACTTCTATCCTCAATAGGATGCCCTTGATGGGCAGCCACATTGGATGGTGATGTAAATTAAATGAAAAAGATTTTCTTTTCCCTTAAAAAAGATATGTACATGATTTGTATATATTTATAGCAATGAATACATAGGAAATTAATGCAGCTTTCTAGCAATTGCACTCCTAACAGAACAGAGCAAGTGTTCAAATAAGTATTCATCTAAAGGGGGTGTCTATGTGCTACCCATTTATATATGGAAAGCAATGCAAGGTCCACAGTCTATGGCACTGTAGTAGGTGAGTGTTTATCCTTCCAGTGATGTCCTAATAGTCTTTTAGCTGACAAAGGGGTGCAGAGAATCCATTCACACTGACCATTTGTTAATTCCCATGAGGTTGGTAAATAATTTGAAAGACATCTGTGAATATTAAGGACTGTTCCAGTAAAAAGAACTTTAAAAAGGAATAACTTACTCTCAGAAAGAAACCAAGCAACTACTGGACATTGTCAAAACATATGTATGAAAGAGGCATTAGCCAGCAGTGGGACAAATTCGATAATCCCGTATGAAGGTGATGCTTCTGATAGACACAAAATCAATTTTTTGCTGAAAGAGATCCATACATGCAACAGGTAGCTGCAAAAGTAGCAATCCACTAATAAGCCATTTTGTGGTGGTACCCACAGCGCTTTCTCAAATTTCCAAATGTGCCAACATAACTACAAAACTTGAGGAAGTTTGTTCAAGAAGTAAAGGCAAAGAAGGAAGCTAAAAAAGCTTCAGATTAAGAGAGAAAGCGCGCGCACACACTATGTTCTCTATGTTGTTATGGAAAATGCTGTCTCGAACACAATATCTTATCTGCATGAGTAAAACTCAGTTTTTCTCATTTGTGAATTACAGGGGCAAAAAGGATTTTCTGGACCTATGGGAAACAAGGTAATATTATTTCAGACCATAAAATAAAAGAGGCTGCATCTCTAAGTGTTGTTTTCAGTATGTTTCAATGATTGCAACTGAAGCAGCTCAAAAACAGTCTGTACCAAATGTGTGTTTTGGAATATAGAAAAAATAAAAATAGAAAGGTGTATTTTCCTAGAAAAGACATTTAAGACATATTCCTATGACAAAAAAATTCCTACAACTCTGAGTTAGAAGGTGTAGGACCTGTTTCTGTGGGACATGCATCAGGTTGCGCCATTAGAAATGCAAATATATTCAAAATAGTATTTAAATACAATTGCTCATGCAGATTGTTCTCCCCTACAAATGCAAAATGGAAATGACACACTATTTGTCCTTGTGGTACACTACCATATTCTAATACTAGAAAGCAAGCAAGCAAGTTCATGATCTTTGACAGAACAGATTTTCTTGACCAGTGTGTTGTGTGTTTCTCAGTCCTTCTTTAATTACTTGCCATAACTATGCCAGCATTGAGATGTCTACCTTATCTCTTCTATGAAACAAAGTATAATAATGGTTCTCATTTACACGGATGTTTACCAGTTCACACTTGCCTGGGGAAGAAAACAGCAACAAGAATGAACAGCTGGACAAAATTAAGTTTTAAAACAAATAATCAAAATATTTTCAGTGAAAACATTTCTTCAGTTGAAAACAATAATTAGCAATAGACACATACCATACTTGTGCTATGTTTAAATACAGAAATAGATTTGCTTAAATCAGATAGATGGAAATGAAATGGAGTATCAGAGCACCACCATCTTCCTGTTCTGTCCATCCAGGCTCAGCCAACTTTAAAGGCAGTTATTCAAAACTAGCCCCACATTTGTGTTCAAAGGGAACTTTTTATTTATTATTTGCACATTTATGGAAAATAATAATAAAATGGACGGGAAAATGTTTTGCAATGCTTTCATTACAGTACATAAATTTGCAACAAGATTAGTTTTCGCTCCTTCTATTCCAGCTCTCTGCACATTTGAAAACTTTGATTGGGAAAATACTTGGCTTGGAACTGAAGTTTACATAGCAAATATCCCCCACAGTAGCAGCCAACCCATGTCTTCCCATTCCTCTCCTGTTCTTTGAAATGTCTGGTCATTAACTGAAGGCAAATCTTTCTCAGACTGATTCAGAATGACTCAGCAATTAGAAGCATCTCCGGAGCACTTTTGAGGAAAAAGTCCCCTTCTTGTAGGGCCAAACTAAGAGTGCTACCATATGTACAATCAGCAATTGCATGGGTGGCTTTTTGAAAAGTATGCAGAAAACATACTGATCTGGATTGGAACTCTTGAACAAAAGGAACTTTTACCCACTGACTTCCGTCTTGTGGCCTTGATTCAAATAAAGCCCCTCTGTTGGCTCTTTGTTTTGAAAGGGAAGCTCTCATTCTACCAGTAATATCCTTCTGTTCCATCCATTTATTGCCGTTATTTCTGCCTTCGGGTTTATTATGTTGCAAGAAATGGCGTGGGCCTGCTTACAGCGTATTGTTCAACATCCCTGTTTGATTTCTTTGAGTTATATTGGGCTGGGAAACGGGGGCCGCTTTTGAGCAGGGCAAGATTATGTTCATGCCCACACACCTTCCTTGTCTGCTGTGGCTTGCCAAGCGGAGTGGCAGAAAGCAAGGTCCTTGCACTGTGAGGGACGCTGCTAGGACTTGCATTGCCTTGCAGGATGGCCCGTTTTCTGTCATTTTTCAGGAAGGAAGGCTTGCTACAAGTAGCTACAAGTACAAGTAGAATGGAGGGAAACAGCACTGTGGTTCCATAGTGGACATGAAGGAAAGGAATCCTGGTTTGGGCTCTCCTAAGCTTTATTCGGAACAAGTTTGAAGCCTTCACATCCCTGAAGGGCTTTAACATTTGGGAGCCTATGATTCAGTCTTTGGACTGGCTTCTAGCTCGGTTTTCACACCCCCTGTCTAATTCATCACAGGATTTCCCCAGAACCATCACAAAGAACTCAGTCTACAAGAGATATTTTAAGAGTTCTCAGGACTGATGAATCTTAACATACATTGCTTTTGGGTTACAGTGTGCAAGACACATATGAGAACAACCTTGGAAATCTGCATTGGGTACAAATTAGGGTATCCTGACCCAGGACTGTGAAGATCCTGAAAGGGCTCTGTTTTTGAAGGGCTCTGTTCTCCCATATGAACCTGTGCAAATCCATCTGGCAGGGAATAGTCCAAGGCTGGATCTTTTTCGGAATGGCTTCAGAAGTCATTATGAGTTAATTGCATTCTGTCCCTGCTTTCCAGATTTTCCAGCAGACAGTCAAGATTATTTTATTCCAGATTTCATTTGATAATACTGGGGCAGCTTTTCAAGATGTTGTTCCTTTTGGTTTTGCCTGCCTGCCTACTTACTTATATTTTTAAAATGTTGGCATTGATAGCCATCTTCAGTTGCTTTGGTTCAAATGGCAGGCTATAACATTTCAGCTAATAAATAGAGGCATCTGGGAGTCATTTCCTCATCAAATTTATTGGTTCTTTTAATCTATTCAATTTAGGGTGATACAGGCAACATCGGAATTCCAGGAGACCGTGGGCCAAAAGGGATCCACGGACAAAGAGCAAGTTAACTTTTATATCCTTTTAACAGCAAAGTAGATTTGGTATCAAGGGGAAAGTGTTAAAATGTAGACTTGTGAGGATAAATTGGGGGAGATCTGTGTATACTGCTTAGACCTTCTTGGGAGACCATTAAGAACTAAAAATAAGTGTAATAATAAAAATAATTGTGTAATAAACATAATAAAACAACTGTGTACACTTTAATATTTTGAGAAAGTCTGGGATCAGTTTAGCATATCAAATGCCAAATTCTGAGAACAGTTGTAGTGTTCTAGTTCTTGGTTTTTCTTAGGAAATAAGAAAACTTTCCCAGTTATGGTGAATAATGATGTTTTTCAACTATAGGGTGAAACTGATAACTATGCCAGATTCAATTAGCAGTCATCTTCTGACAGTTGATTGTAAGTGGCACAGATGATTCAACAGGCCAGATTTTCTGTAAGATTTTTAGGAGCCAGAAGGTTGGCTCCAAAGCTGAATTTGGAACAGATTAAAAGATATTTTTATTCAGAACAAATCACTGCACTCAGTTTCAGCCAAGAATACCCCTTAGTACTCTATGCTGAAATATCAGTATGGGTTAAAACATTTTCCCCTGACAGAAAGAGGCTCTGTCTATTTATCTCCTCCATTATTCTGGCTAACAGAATGATGTGGTGTGATGCCCAGTGAGACTTGTAGTCTTCATAGCTAAAACCTTCTGGGCAGAACAGCAGTTTGGGAAGAACTACAAATCCCACGTGCTCCTGCTTTCTATAACATAGCTAGCCAGGATGATGGAGAAGAAGGGGGGGATCAGAAGAAGAAATCACCCCCCCCAAAACTTTCCTATTGCTATAGGCTTTCCTTTACCACCAAGTTCCAAAAAGAGAAGAATACTTTTCAAATGTCCATGCAGTACGAACATACTAAAAGTATGTATGTATGTATGTATCTGAAAGTATTTATAATGGAGTCCCCCATGCATTTGTTTTTAGGGTGCTGGAGGAGCTACTGGACAGAAGGGAATACAAGGGGACTATGGTCCTCCAGGACATCGGGTATGTTATGAATCTGTCACATCTGCTTTGTACAGCCTTAATTGCATGGAAAATACAGTCATTGCGAAAATGAGTGCATATAATAAGAACTATAAATTTCACAATTTCCCCTTTTCTGTGTTAATTGAACTAATGCACAAATGCTTTTCATATGTATTAGATGGTGCTGGAATACTTGGACTGCCTCTTAGAATCAGTTTTGTTTGCTTTATAATTACTTTTTAACTAAAAATCACTATCTTGCCAATAGGTTGTATATGACAATTTTAAATTGAGAGTGGTAGCTTAACACAAATACTTATACATGCACTTTATTATGATTCTTTGGAGACATCTTGTTATGCTCCTAACTGAAGTTGTAATGTGACCTCTTTAATGGAAGGCTAGACTAGATTAAGGAATGGTAGCTGGTTCCTTCACTACACCGTGAGTATTTGTTGCAGATGAAAACGCAGATTGAATTCACATGAAGTTAAGCATGCAAATAGACAAGTGCCAAGATGGAAAAACAAGCTTTGCTGAGTATGCAACAATGATGAAGTTAACTAATTATATCAACAAACAAGCAGTTATAGAATTTACTCAAAGATGGAAATCTTATTATGAGCAATTTAAATAATTGCTAAAGTAAATATAAGTTTTACAAATGCCTGTGATTACCATTCTAAACCAAAGAATGTGATAATTTATAACTTACTTAATAGACTGGATAAATTTCTGATTGAGAATTGGATGGTTTGGATGGGATGGTGGCTGGATAGAGACTTTTGTTTCTTATAACTCTGTTCAGATGAAGATATTGCATGCTGAATTTCTGGAATGACCCATGGGACCCCCTTTCCTATCTATTTTCTTCTTTTTACTGTAGTTTCTGAAAATAAATTTAAAAAGATTTGAACTAGTGCTAAAGTGTTAGCTATGTGTTAGCCCTGCATTTATCCTATTCATGTACACATGGGTGTATTTGAGCATAATAACTACCATTAAGATACTTATTATACCGTGGTCTGTGCTTATGATTCATACCATATGAGCAAGTTGTGCTGTGATAACTGGGAATTTCATTACACTAGTAATTGTCTTGCACCTGTATTGAATACTTTTTGACCTAGCAACCATGAAAGATTCAGGAGTCCCCTAAGCCAAGTTTCAAATGTCAGGGCATCTCTGTTAGGTATTGGTTTCACCATATTTTGCTGCAATTGTTTTTTCACCTTATACTTTCCCTTTCAACTCCATTATTGGGTGTGTCAAATCACCTTCTTGGTAATTAATCCAAACAATCTGTGATTTCTATCTTTCAGGGTATTAAAGGAGCAAAGGGTGTGCCTTCCTTTTCAGTATGTATATATAAGAAATCCCTTATATATTCACAAAGATCTCATGAAACATTTACCCCTTCACTCATGGTTTGATTTTGTTTGTTTCACAGTCATGTGAGCTCATTGCTTATATTCAGGCACACAGCTGTAAGTATTGGCTCTTAGCAATAATAGTCTTCTGCTTACGCATTCACTTATGCATGAAGGGGGAACCCTTTCCTATTGGTCATAGGCAGACCACTGTTTTGATTGGGCTTTTGTTAACTACTAACCTCTGCAGGGTTGGTGGACCTATTAAATGGTGCGAACCTCATAGGCTTATGGAGCTGAAGGGTTTTCAGAGAGTTTTGAGGGATTCTTTAGCTGAGCTAGCCAGCTGTCCTGTCAAAACTGTGTTTGGCTCTTAGAACAGGGAGTTCTTAAAATGTTGATTTGAGAGCTCTTCCATCTGCCAGAATGTAGCCCTGTCTATAGTATAATGAGGGCTTAAAGGTGGTGAGACAACAAAGCTGATAGTTGAGCAAAGATAGTGGAAAACTCATGATGAGTCAAATTTAATATGTTTAGGGCTTATTTGAAGGCCTACTCCATGATAGTGTGCACAGTAAAAAAACAAAACAACAAAATCTTCCTTCTCAGTCACCATACCATCTGTACAAACATTGGACGTAAAAGGTTTAATCCTAATTCCATTCTTTGGAAGATCAGGATCTTATTGGTTTATTATTACAGTTTTATACAGGATTATTGTTTTGCAGATAAAATTGCTTGTTATCTGCTCAGTATTTGGCACCACAACAGTCAATACTAGAAGCAGCCAGATCCTCTTCTACTCCACTGTTATTGGATGATACTTGACCCATGACTATCTGGTTCTCCACACAATGGTCAAGCAATTGACTCCTGCCTGGCTGCAGTTCGGAACTGTCTGGTCATTCTGTCTGAAGACTTCTACCAGCATAGAGAGGCAGAAAGAGTGTGGCCCTGTTGATTCTCTTAGACATCTTGGCTGCTTTTGCTATCACAGATCAGGGGTATTAAATCACATTCAGCTCGAAGGACAACTTCAATTTTGGTGAGTGGGGCTGAGAACAAAACCAGCTGTGCTCAAGGGCAAATGAAGCTGGGCCCCAGAAAGGAAAAATCCCTGCCTTTTCTTAGCTTAAAAGTCTCACCACCACTATCTACAACTTAGGACAGGCGTTGCAACCTTCTTAAAAGGGGAGAAAAAACAATAATAGTAATAACATGAGGAAGCCACCAAATGAATGGCAGTTAGGGGAAAGGAGAATTGGCTGTCTGGGAAACCTGATTTGGCCTGTAGGCCTGAGGTTCTACTACATGGCTGTTTTGTGTTTTGTAATAACTCGTACTTTTATACAGCACAGACAGTACACATGTTCTGATTAATTCCTGGAGATCAGGAATAGAGATGACCTAGCCAATTCCATGGTAATCACATGCAAGCACAAACACTCACACGCACCATGCCTACAGAAAATCATCTACACAGAGGTGAGGTTCTTTTAGCTTTTCCCAGCCTTCAAAGGTCATTGTATCAGATTTAGAATCAGAGCTAGAAGAGGTGGGATTGGAATGCTTGGCTGAAGTTCCAAGGCCAAATGATTCAGAGATAAGAAAACCCAGGGAGCACTCTGATATGCCTGAGGGTGGCGTAAATATCATCAGTCCAATTGTAGGGCATCAGGTTAAAAGGACAGACCACTGAGGAGCATCAGATGTTGTCAGCAATTGCCCCAGAAGCAGCAAGAACACCCCCGCCCCCCGCAGGTAGGGGCAGCTCTTTTTCAGTCTAGAAGGGAAGAGAGGTATTCGGTATGGAATAATTCTGATATCCTTCAGAGGCCAACATGCTAACTTTTCGTGTGCCTATTGTTATTGACTTTGGCTATACTCTTTTGTCTTCCAAAGGCAGTCTGGCTGACCAACTTTAACATAATAAAGACGTTAATTAAAAGCCTTTTGTTCTGATTTGCTTCAAAGCAGTTGGGGGTGGGGTGAGGGGAGGCACAGAACACATAGTCTTCTTGCAATTTCCCAGCCCCCTGTAGAATAGACAGTAACTGCTGCTAATTAAGTAAAAGTGTGGTTCTGTATGCATCTGTTGTTGTTAGTTGAGAAGTCACATCCGACCCATCGACCCATTGCATCCCCATGGACAACATTCCTCCAGGACTTCCTGTACTCCACCATCCCCCAGAGTCCACCTAAGCTCACACCAACTGCTTCAGTGACTCCATTTAGTCACCTCATTCTCTGCCATCCCCTTCTTCTTTTGCCATCTATTGTTCCCAGCATTAGGCTCTTCTCCAGGAAGTCCTTCCTTCTCATTAGGTGGCCAAAGTATTTGAGTTTCATTTTCAGTATCTGGCCTTCTAAAGAGCAGTCAGGGTTGATCTCCTCTAGGACTGACCAATTTGATCACCTTGCAGTCCAAGGGACTCGCAGGAGTCTCTTCCAGCACCACAATTCAAAGGCCTCAATTCTTTGGCACTCAGCCTTCCTTATGGTCCAACTTTCACAGCCATACATTGCAACTGGGAAAACCATAGCCTTGACTAAACACACTTTTGTTGGCAGGGTGATGTCTCTGCTTTTTAGTATACTGTCTAGATTTGCCATAGCTTTCCTCCCAAGGAGCAAGCGTCTTTTAATTTCTTGGCTGCAGTCCCCATCTGTGGTGATCTTGGAGCCCAGGAAAATAAAATCTGTCACTACCTCCATTTCTTCCCCATCTATTTGCCAGGAAGTGATAGAACTGGATGCCATGATCTTAGTTTTCTTAAGGTTGAGTTTCAAGCCAACTTTTGCACTCTCCTCCTTCAACTGCATCAAGAGGCTCTTGAATTCCTCTTCACTTTCATCTAAGTCCCATTGAGTTTAATAGGACTTACACCCTGTTACATGCATCTAGGATTTCAGCTCACATAAATTTGCATTGGAGTGATTTGCATTGGAGTGATACTTAAAAGTGTCCGTATATGGACCAAAAGACTGCTTGAGTACAAAAAGCTTGCCATGTTTTCAGCAATATGTTGAGGAGAAATTAGCTGCCTGGATCAACTGAAATCTTCAAAGAAGCAAAGTAGAAAGCATTTTCCTAGCACTCAGGTTGTTGGGTTGTGTAAATTGAATCAAAGTACCTCCAGATGTTAAGGTCGAGGACTTACTCCTTTGTTTGTTTGTTTTTGTTATCCTGAATGCACACCAATAGTTTTGGAGTGGGAAATCCAGAGAGCAGCCTCTGGATTTCCAGAGCGGTGGAGTGGCCTCTGAGCAGGGTGCAAGCAGGCTTTTGTCCATAGATGGCTCCTGAAAACACTTTGTTAATTTCCATGTAACATGCGCCATCTGAACTGGACTATAGAAATTGCTCCCACGAGAAAAAAAAAGAATGCATCAGATCCAGTCATTAGTGTGCTTTGTGAAGCACTCAATGAAACTTAGATCTAAGTGACTCAGACTGCAAGCCAAGTTAGAGGAGTGGGCATGAAAACAAACTCAATGCAGCTACAGCCCATGTAAGGCAAATGAACATAACTTGCTGAGAAACAAGATGTCTACCCCATATTTAGCATTATTATTATTTTTTTCAGTTCAAAATTATTTTTGTGGGTAAATTCCTCTAGGGGAAGTGAGCAAGAAAAAGCCAACAAAACATTACAATAAGATCAAATTGTTACATATGCATAAGTTTAATGAAAACATAGGTTATTGGAAAAAAGACAGGTATATACAATAAATACAGTGGTTAACTAGAACCAGCAACCAAAGAATGTAAGGCAAGGCCAGCAAAAACAGATGGGTTGTCAGCACTTTCACGAAGACCTTCAAAAAGGGGACTGATTAAAGCTGATTCCATGTCACTGGTGAATTGTGTGATCCCAGCTTGCCCTGTTACATTATTTCCAAATTCTTCTTGTTTGCTTTTCATGGGAAGTAGAAATGTCTGCATCAGAAAATGAAGATATCAGACAGTTCAGCCCTGTTGGACTACAATTCCCATGATCCTAAACCAGAATGACCAACTGTCATGCTGGTTGGAGATAGCATGGAGAAGAAGCAGCTTGTGAAAAGTAATATACATTTCAGTCTTGCCACTCAGTTCCAGTTGGGTCATGCCATTTGCTCTCCATCACTATGAATTCCCTGTGCATTCAAACTTCGTTCCCCAGTGATACTGCTGTAAAGTAAATAGGCAAAGATATCATCTTGGTGATATACGTAAAAGAGGTCTATGAACATTTGCAGTGTAAAGGAGACTCCATTAAGAGTAGGGGTGGCATATAAATGCAAAATAAATAATAATGCCAACTTTTCTTTCTTTTGTTTAGCTTGTTACACAGGTGAGTATTTACTGAACATTACATTATTTGGCTATCCAAAGATGCTCACACATCTGACAAGGTGGTCATAAATGGTCAGGCTTCCTGATACTGGGATGTATTCTATGTTAGTCCTACTTAGAGTAGAGCTATTATGCTAGACTACCAACCCATTGATTTCCCATAGAAGCCGCACCAGAAAGGAACCATGTGGATGGGAAGGGGACAAGTCTGTATGGTTTGTGTCCATAGTGCTAACATGCCTGGTACCAGCTCCTGCAGCATGAAGACACACTAAAGTTGCAACATCACACAAAGAGCTTGCATTGCGGAACAGTTTCATACATCTTCCCCATGAAACTGTCACTGGAATGGCACTTTCAGACATTGCCATCACCTTAAGACAACCTAACAGCCAATTGGAAAAAGGTTTACAAGTGAATTTTAAATGTTAAACAGCACAAAAATCTGTACAAAAAGTATCATGCTTACAATGCAATGATAAATGTAGCTGAATCTAAATGATGAGATCATATTTAGATACTCAGAGCACATTGGACTTGAAAGTGCTTTCTGTTTGGCTTGACCACTCCATTTCTTGCCTCTTTTGCATCCAAACAAGGAAAAGACAAATTTGGCTAAGATATGTTTTCCCAGAAGTTTAATGCTCAGCTGCTTTAAGTATGATTATTTACGGCACGCTACTATGCATATTTAACCTGGAAAAAAAAACCCCACTATGACTCCCTGTGGAAAGCTAGGGATTATAATGGGTTTTTTCCTGTTTAAACATGCCTGGGTTGCATCTGTAATTGTTTAGTGATGAATTTACAGTGTTCATCTTTGGTCAAATTAAATAATTTTATTTTTAAATGTGTTCTTACTTTTTCATATTTGGGTTTTGTACACCAGTTTGAAAGAATTATAGAAAAATGATCCCAGTCTTTTTAAAGCAAGCAAGCAAGCAAGCAAGCAAGCTATCATATAATACTATATTCAGTTCATAGTAACAAAAATATGGTTAGATGTGGATTGAAATGGACATTATTTGCCATTGTTGCTTGTTTGATAAGTAAACTGCTTTTTTGTTGTAGGAGCACCAGAATGTCCAATGTATCCTACAGAACTTGTATTTGCCTTGGATGTATCCCAAGCTACCACACCCCAGGCATTTGAACGAATGAAAGAGATCGTCATAGCCATTGTGAACAATACTAAAATCAGAGAGAGCAATTGCCCAGTGGGAGCCAGAGTGGCTGTGGTGTCCTACAGCTCTGATACGCACTATCTGATCCGCTTCTCAGATTTCCAGAGCAAAAAACGGTTGATCCAGGAGCTCAATGCTCTTTCCTATCAGAGATCAGCAAGCAAAGGAGACCTTGGTGGGTCTATGAGGTTTGTTGGCAGGAACGTCTTCAAGAGAACTGTCCAAGGTGCTAATGTGAGAAAGGTTGCTGTGTTTTTCAGCAGTGCCCCATCTGACAATGTAAGAGTTATTGACACGGCATTCCTGGAGTTCAGCGCATTTGACATTGTTCCTGCAATCATTGCTTTTCATGATATCTCTGAGGTCAACCATGGTTTTCTGGTGAGAAACTGGGTTTTTTCCCCTCTTTGTACTCAGGAAAATTCTCTCAAAGGCTTGAAATTGCATTAAGCCTGGCATAATTATCCAAACTGCAACGAAATCATTTTACAAATAAGAGAGTAAAATATACTCTTTTAAAGCATGTACAATGTCACTGGTAGTCTTGAAGAAATAAAGATGGGTGACCCCATCAGGTTAAGCAGTGGATCACCCACTGTTTGTTCCCATATCAGGAAGCAACAGCATGTTATGTTGTACTGCCACTTCCTGGACATTTTCACAAGAATTTTACCCATTCAGCTGGGACCACACTTTATAGTCACTCTGAGCAACTTTACATTATGAGGAGGAGGAAGAAAGCCTGCCCTTCAAGCACCTTATATGTATAAATACTTATAAAATGTGTTTTTAAATGTGTGATTTTAAAAATGCGCTTTCTAAAACTAAAGTCAGAAAAGGATGAATTGCATCCTTGCATTCATCAGAAAAGGATGAATTGCATATGCAGGAATGGAATTGCCCTGTTTGTCCAACCCTAGTAATGACTTGTATTTCAGAGGATTGTTACAGATCAGGCAGACATATTCAGCCTGAAAGAGTCGAGTTGATCTATGTGTGTGAATCTTTCCTCTCTCCTTCCTGCGATCAGCCTTTTCACTAATGCTGCCAGCATGTATTTGTTATCCTGGTAGAGGTGTGCAGACATTGTAAAATCTCTTGTAAAATTCTTGGCAGATTGTCAGGCAGTTTTTGTTCTATTGTCAGCCCATTGGACTTTGGAATTGGACTTTGTGCACAGTTGTGCTTTCAGATATGCTAAAATCCTCCCCCCAATGTGTTTTTTTCATGCTTTTATGTGTTGGGGAAATGTGCATTTTTGGTTGGTGCTTCTTTATTTTCCTGCAGTCAAATTTGCATAAGATTACACATATTAAAAAGGAGTCCAAGAGTCCATGTGATTCAGGAAAAGCCAGTCTGCTGCAGATCAGATTTTTAGAAATTCAAACTGATCTGAACCCATTGCATATTTCTTCTACACCCCTATGTCCTGGCAGTAGTGATAATTCTGATGCATATAATTTCTATTTTATTCATACTTGCTCTTTTTTCTTATTCATATTATCTTGCCCTTTATTTTTATACACAAGTCACCAAGATTAGGGCAGAAAATGTTGCTTCCTAGGCTCAGTGTGATTTGACTTCTGCTAACTATTCTAGAACTTAAGTGGGAGCGTGGGAATGGTCTGCAAGCATTGCCTGCTATTGTCTCCTTAGGTCAAAGATATCTCACACCTTTTCCAAAGCCAGCAGAGTGCCAGCTACTCCTTAATCCTCTGAAGGACCAGGCTGGGATGTCATATCCCTCATGCTTGGACAGTGTGGACTGGAAATTCTAAATTAAGGCTATCTGGATATTGAGTTCTAATTATTCTCTCCATTTACTGTCCTTGGGGAGTGAATGGGGTAACATTTAAGTCACATGCCTCTTATCTATTCCCTCATTTTTTCATCTTTATCTGTAGATGGATGTTTCTGGACAGTTTCAAGTCATAGTCGATCCTAGTGAAGAAGATTATGCACCATTTTCAAGCAGACTGTATCTCTGCACCATTTGTTACGGTATGGAGCATAATCTGTTTACAATTATACTTCCCCGGAGGCAACTGAATTCCATAATAATTGAACCATAAGCCTGAGTAAGCTTGGCAGAAGTCTCTGAGATTTAAAGAATCACTGCTGGAGTGTGTCCTCTGGTTTTTATTAACTTTGAGTTCTTAAATGAGGTGCACTTTTCTCCCAAATTCAGCATATCTGTCATCAGCACCTGAATAATGTCCCTCCCATCAAGAGTAAAATGTATTCAAATGAAAAACCAGAAAGAAAGAAAGAAAGAAAGAAAGAAAGAAAGAAAGGAAGGAAGGAAGGAAGGAAGGAAGGAAGGAAGGAAGGAAGGAAGGAAGAAAAAGATGAAATCTTACAATGAGAGTAAGATTGAAAAGCATGTACTTGCTTTGCAATATGCAAACAAGACGACCAAAGATAGAATTGAACCAATAAAGTAAAATTAAGAGAGCCAGAGTGGCATGGTACTTACAGTACTAGACTGAGGCTCAGGAGATCTGGGTTCTAGTCCCTCCTTGCCCATGATGCTCACTAGAAGACTTTGGGCCAGTTCCTGACTCTCCACTTAACCTACTTCACAGGGCTGTTCTGAGGATAAAATGGAGATCCACCTTGGATTCCTTGCAGAAAAAAATGGTGGGATGTAAATATAATAAAAACTGACCACTTTCTAAAGTCTATTCCAAATTTAAGCAATTAACTACTTCCATGATTTTAGTAAATGAGGTAACTATACCTTTTAAGCCTGTGGAATGAACTTCGATTGACTGGGACTCATTCAGGGCAACTTGTGCAAGACCCTTCGAAGCCTCAGTGCAGCATGTCTAAAATATTTGTTCCTTTCCAGATAAATGCAAGCCGCATGCTTCTTGTGGACGTAGCCGGGAACCTCGCTCACCACGGCATTACATGGATGCTGCTTTCCTTTTGGATAGCTCAAAGAAAACAAATCCCAGGGAATTTGAGAAGCTGAAAAACTTTTTAAGCAGTGCACTTGACCATTTCGATGTGTCTTCTGCACCTTCCACATCCTCAGCAGGGGACCGGGTGGCTGTGGTGAGTCATGCTCCGTCCTCATTCAGACCTCAAATGCAGACCACTCCAGTAAAGAAAGAATTTGACTTGCTGACTTATGGTAGGACACAGCTGATGAAAAAGCATATCCAAGAATCTCTTCACCAGCTGGGTGGAGTAGCGGCTGTTGGCCATGCCCTCCAGTGGACAATTAACAACATTTTTGCACCAGTGCCCCACCTGAGAAAACACAAGGTGATTGTTGTTATATCTGCCGGGGAAACAAACCCATGGGATCAGGCAGTCCTGAAGAAAGTGTCTCTGAGAGCCAAGTGCCAAGGATTTACCCTGCTGGTTCTTTCTTTGGGCTCTATGTACAATAGCACAGAACTTGAAGAGATGGCAAGTTCACCCTTGGAGCAGCATTTGATTCAGCTTGGCAGAATTCACGAGCCAGAAATGAACTATGCACTTCAGTTCCTGAAATCATTTTTGCAGCTTGTTCGGAGTAAGTTTTTATTATGTTGTTGTTTAAAAATTCACTGCTGTGGAAGATCCTTTCCATTTTTGAGAGCAGAGGATTGTTATTTTTTGTAAGGTTTGTGTCAGCCTCTTTCAGATCTTTCCCTCCTCGCATTCCTTCAATGCCGGGTGGAGAGACTGCACTCAGGTTTTCCTCTTCAGCATTTTGGTCCTTGACACACCAAGGTTGGGGTCAGCCTAGCTGTACAATCCCACTCACTCCTTCACCTGTAAAAGGTCCACTCATGCCTAGTTATCACAAGACTACTGCAAGATCAGGACTAGTACTGAAGGAGCGTTCACAAAATATTTCCTACCTGACATTTCATTGAGCAATGATGGGACATCCCTGTTCACCCCTGTTCATTGAATCTGACAGCCCAAATTGGCCAACGGAATCCATATTTAATTTTTCCTACAGACATAGAGTGGGAAATAAAATTACAAGAACAAGTTTCACTGAAAAATATCACAGGGGCAAACAATGCAATATGATAAAATAATGCTTATAATGCATACGTTAAGCTAAATGCATATCACATCTCTCTATCTGCACCACCTTGTATTGTATTTATCCCATTTAGAGGACATTGGGCCCATTTTATAGATGAGGAACAATGAGACCAGACCAGTTAATTCATACCACAAACTTCTTAAGCAAAAATAAAAATTAAATAATAGCAGAGTGCATCTGAGCATATGAAGAATGCTTTCCCCTCACCACCAAGCATTTACAGTCTCACCTCTTCCCACATACTTAGCATTAAGAAGCAGGAGTTACAGAAGAGCAAGCATTAAAAAAAATCCCAAAAGTGCTATCTTTAAAAATTAAGTACTGATCCCACCTCATGAAGGAGATGGCTCTCCATAGCTTCTAGCCAGGATGTTTAAATACTGCTTCTACTACCAGAGGTCTTACATTTTTCAGGCCAATTTCTGGGGATCCAAATGAGAAGGTGCCATTGAGTTTTATGGTTTGCTACTGCAAGAACAGATTGCTGGACTAGAGAGGCCTGTGGTCTGATCTGGCACAGCTTGTGTCCCCTTCTTATGCTCACCTATTAGAAAACTGAAACAAGCAAACCCACCATGCCAAAATCCATTCCTTTATCCTTCCCTCAATTTCCTTTCAAGCAGTTGCTCACAGGAATGGGTTCTGCTTAGCTTTGTCCAAATCTGTGCCCCAGCCAGATTTCCTTTTAACCCCCTTCCCTTTCTTCCCAGGAATCAGTTTTGAGTGGGGATGAATCTGCAATATTTCTCATCACAGCTGTGAAGACACAAGAAGTGCATTTGCTTTATTGAGCAGACACAATAAAGGAATAGATTGCCTCGAAACATGCTTAGCTCAGCATTTGCAGTGTTATCAAGGACCAAGCCCTCAGAAACTCTTGCAGGCACAAGAAAAATCCTAAATTCTTTCTCACCCATTTCCTCATTTCAGCTATCCAAAAAGTGAAAACAGCATAACAATTCAGTGGAAGAAGGAGCCTTTCATCTTTTAAAAGTTTATAGTATTGTTTCAATTGTGTGTGTGTGTGTGGGGGGGGGGGTTTGCCTATGTACACACACACAAGTGCAAGTGTTGCATACCTGGGAATGGAAAATGTGCAAAGGAGCCAAGGGTGGGTGCAAGGATGGTCCCACCTTCTTGGGGAGCTAGTCCTGCTTCCTGACAGACATATTACTGGCTCTGTCTGAAGAGGGTCACCTTTGGTTCTTCTCATAGGCACCTTCTGGGGTTTCCAACATGGGGCCTGCAACCAGAGCTGATTCAGCTTGGGCAGATGACCATCAAGAGAGAAGGCCTAGGTCCACATGCTTCCATTTGCTCCTTCATGCATTCAGGCTGAACCCTGCAGAGAGCAATGGTGATCTCTAAATAACCAAGATATTCATGCTTCTGTAGAATGTGTCTTACAAAGGGATTGGAAAAGGAAGCAGAACGGTTATCTCTAGATGGTGCTCCTACAAAATTAAAATGCAGGATTAAAGTGGATGAAAATCACTTCAGTTTATTTTTCAGTCCTTTCAGTTTGTCTTACAATGGTTATAACATTAAAGATAAACCAGAGAAATGTTGAAGGTTTGTATAAACCATCAGGAAAACATTGTAACATCTATTTCTAAATATCACCAATGTCAATTTTATATGCATTTGTCACAACAGCTGAGGTAAACAGCTACCCTCCAGCTGAACTCAGAACAAAATGTAGCAAGATCAGCGCTCAAAAATCAAGATATACTTCAAGGAGTCTTAGTCTCATGTAAGTCCAGACAATTTTTCATGCAGATTATGATTAATTAACAAAATATGTGTTACAGATTTGCATTTGTGGATGGGGTGGGAGGTGGGGACCTAAAACAAAAATGAATGTGTTCATAATCTATCAAGGAACTCTGCTGTATAAAATATATGGTATTTAAATCCTTGATTATAAAATAGCCAAACATCTGTGAGTTCATGATCATCACTTCTAGCCCAAAACATTTTAGTAGTTACAAAGAAGCTCTGCTTAGTATCTGCAATCTTATCTATGCTATAAGACGTAATAGCATTCAAATCTCAACAAATTTATCTTGGAAGTAAATGCTATCAAACAAATAGTTTTGGAAGGCATTTCATATTGCTAGTCTACATGAATCTCTTGAAGTAACAAGAAACTGTCATTCATACTTTTCAGATATCAGCACATTTATTTTAATTTTAATATGATCAGTCAATCCTTTAATGTTCACTGAGAAGCATTTCACCTATTTAACATTTAAACTAATAATAAGGATTATTCTAATGCATTTGTTCTTTTCTGTGTGATAAAACAGCTTAGACATTGTTCTGTTTATTTAGGGCACATTTCTTTCAGTTTGCAGTAAGTAAAATTGATGGATCCAGTTTTAAGCACTTGGCCTTGGATTCAGGGATTCAGATACAGTCATACGTTAAGTAGATCCACCAAAATCAGTTGGATGTAAGTGAGTTGTAACTTGAAATCAAGCTCTGTTGATTTAAATCAGCCTTCTCCAACCTGGTGGCCTTTAGAGACATGTGAACCACAATTCCCAGAATTCTCATCCAGCAGGACCATTGACTAGGAATTCTGGTTGTTGCAATCCAAATGTCTGGAAGGCACAAGGTTGGGGAAGGCTGATTTAAATGAAGCTACATTGGACTAAGTCTGCATCCAACCTAACAATCTATTGCTGTCACAACTAGTTGTATCCTTAGGCCAATATCCAACTGTGCTATTCCTTAGTGCAAAGGTCATTGCACTAGCAAAAACTAGGTTTGAAACTAGGCTGAAAAGGAGACTTTAAATACTTTGGCTTGCACAAGTATGGCTGCACTACTGGTTGTGCAGCTGCTTGCACAACTGGTCATGTAAGCATCATGAGCGACTGTTTGTCCAGGAAAGATTTGGCAGAGCTCCACTAGCAGGATCTGTGTTTGCAGAATGGCACCATTGGGTAGAGTCCCACATCTGTAGTGTGTGAAGCTACTCTATGAGTTTCTTGTCATTCACCTATATGAATTCCCTTACAGCTTCACCTAGAATTTGCTTTTAATATTTTTCAGATGATTGGAAGAAGATGTGCAAATCCTGGTTCAGGAGGAAAAATAAAGCCTTTCTTGTTGCTCAGAAGGAATTAATATTGATCTAAAAAATTAAGACTGTATATTTCCAGTTGCATTCATTCACGCAGGACTCTTTCACATTTTCAGTATTCATTGAGAAATAAACTATTTCCCAGCCTTACCAGGATTTCAGTTGTGTGACTCTTGCCTTATATAAGAATATGAAAGGAGCATGGGAACCAGCCTTCCAATCACAACTTCTCCTTTTTCACATTATCTTGTTAAAATGCTTATATATCCGTTTTCAGGCAAATGCAGCCTAGATGAATCTTGCATCTGTCACGAAACACTCCCATATTAGGCCTGTATAGATGCTGCTTTCACTATTGAGAGCCCAATGAAACTAAGTCCTGCTGAACTTCAGGAGCAGCAAGATTCCCTAAGCACAACACTTGGCAAGTTTGACACTTCTCCTGATCCACAGACATTTGAAAGGTGACAGGGCACCTGTGAGAGCCAAGCTCCAGAAGAATTCAGAGCCCAGTTAAAATTTCTTTTAGCAGTGAAGGTCAAATGAAGAGGCACATTCAAGGGTCTCTCCAGCAGTTGAAAGGATCAGCAACTGTTGCCCATTGGCCAATCTTATTTGCAACAAGACACAGTCATTCATGTATGTATGTATGTATGTAATTGCATTTGATAGAAAAACAAGTCACTGGGACAAGTATATGGTTGATGCATCTCTGAGAGCCAAGTGCCCAAACTCTGGTGTCTTAATGTTCTCATTAGGGAATGAGCATATAGAATTATTATTTTTATTTATCTATTTATTAGATTTCTACCCCACCCATTAGCCAAAGTTGTTCTCTGGGCAGCTGGCAAATATCCCCCTGAAGCATTGTATGATACAACTTGGCAGAATGACAAGGGCAAGCCTGAAGATGCAGTGAATTTTCTGAAGCTGTTTGCACACCTTCCCAAAAAATAGAATTTTTTTGGAGGGGGTGGGTCAGGTAGTATGGCTGCCTTTCCCATGAATAAGCTGAGCTCAGAAGATAAACTGAGATGACATGTTTCTCATCGTTTGCACATACTGCAAAAGAATGACAGCAGGTTTTTCTTTTTAGGGGAGCCTCCTAAATTTCGTAATACATGAGAGTGGTTCAGTTCAATATTTATCCAAACTGTTTTATGAGGCATTTGTTACATCAATAACAGTGATACATGCATAAAGTAAGTAATAATGTGTTTGGATAGTGAGTGAACAGATATAAAAATAGTTGGCTTTAGGGACTCTGAACTTTTCACTGCGACAGCATCTCTTATTTAAGGTTGTTGCAGCAGGAATGTTTTCCAGACCAAATGGTTCTAACAAGCTGACTTGCAACATTTGCTAATACCATTTCTACTAGTCCCAGTGGAATCAGAGTCATGCTATTCATGCAACTTTACAGCAGCTGAACCCATTTTGGCATCAGTATGAGCACAATGCAAAGCCCTTGGTGAAGCTTCTGAGCTGCTATCCATTTTGCTAGGATCATTGGAAAGGATCAAGCACATATTCAGATCATAGGTTAACGTGAGCTCGGCAAGGCTCACTATTGGGATTGTCAGCCTTTGTAAAGCTTCTGATAAAAAGCACGTGGTAGAGCCTTTCACTTCCTTCCTCCCTGTCCATGAAAGCCTTGAATGACTGAAGAAAAAGTGGCTGTGGTTTTCAGTGGCACTGCAGTACTACAATGGATGAATGTAGGCAATTTGAGCTTTGTTCTGCATCTTCATTTAAAGAACTCACAATCAGCTAACAAGGGATGGAAAAGTCTCTGCCTAAGACCTTGGAGAATCACTGCCTTTTTGAATGGATGGTACAGAGATGCATAAAAACAGTGCAGTATATCTAGACCAGGACTTAGGAGGTGGCCCTTGGTGATACCGTCACCAAAAAGCCTTGCTTTTGATCTAGGACTATTCACTCTTCAAACCAAGGTTACTGAGCATTTGGGTGTAACTGGTATAATAAATAAATACAGCAAATCAAGGTAGCTCACTGAGGGTCTATCCTACCATAGTTACATTCCCTGTCTTGAGAAATGAATCTATATGTACATCCATCCGTTCAAATCAGTACGCAGAAGCCTGTGCATGTTTCATTTCAGTAAACTTCATTCTGATATTTAAGTTAAAAATGAATGCTTATTTGGATATATGGAAACATCATAGGACATTTTACTCTAGATACCACCTTACTTTTTGCATGCATACAATTAAGGCAGAGAATTACAATGGTATAACATAGTTCCTGATACAAGCTTTCTATTGAAATTAAGTTGGTTTTCTTTCTAGCAAAGGCATGTTCTGCATTATCAGGCAAGAACACTAGATAAATAAGGTAACCAGTTAATTAACTGCTCATGGGCTGATGAAAGTGCAAAATAAAGCAAGCGTTCCAATTTGGATTTGCTACTAGTTGCTGAGACGCAATTTTCATTGATGTTGCAGTGATGAAAAAGGCCATGTAAGCCACAGTGGAGAACTTAGGTACTGTGAAAGAGCGTATTGCCCAGTGAATGGTCGGCTGCTTTCTGAAAAGGTGTGAAATCCAAAGGCAGTTTTCCAAATGTAAAAGGTATCTTCCATGGATGGAAAAGCCATGTTAGAGCCAGACTTTTACATGAGAAACGATCCAAATGTGTTTTCTTCTTGTGTCTGTCAACATCTTCCACAGATGAAAACAGGAGAAAACTGCTGGTGAACCTGGCTGCATAAATTCTTATGTAAACCCTTCTGCAAACATTTGTGGAACAGCACTTACAGCTATTTTCCTTTCCCTCTCACCTTTTTGGATCCCAATCATTCATTTTGGAGATAAAGCTCTCACATTAAATTAATTAAGATGGCTCAGAGGATACAAATAAGGCCGTAAATTTAATTTCCTATCAGGGAAACTTGCAGGATACATAGATAAAATACAGCTGCCCATAGGTCAGATGAAGGAGTAAGTTAGAACACTAAGTCTAATAAGGCCCAGCTGCTTTATGATGAAAAGTTAGCGGAAAACATTTAGCACAGACATAATCTCACAAGGCAAGCTTTTGAAAAGGCTTTGTCTCATATCCATGGGACTGTGATATGAGCATATCCAATCCAACTCTGGGGTTTAGGTAGCCTAAGCTATTCCTAACTTTAACATACAGATGTTTGACATGGAGGGTAAGGCAAGTCAATGGCTACCAGGCACCCTGGCTCCAGTAGTAGAAGCGGTATGCCCATGTGCAGAACTTGCCTAGGAAAATGGACACCCACATTTATCTCTTGTTTATGGGCTTCCCACAGGCATCTGGTTAGGCACTGTGTGAACAGAATGCTAGACTACATCAGCCTGGTCCAACATGGCCTCACGGGTACAGATATGGGCATCGCAACTGATTCCTCCAGGGTCCCATATTTTGTCTCTAATGGGACATATATCTGCGAAAGGCTTGTGAATGAAAACAGTAACATGCAAACTTGTCTATACTTTCAGATGATGGTTAGGGCCATGTTTTATGCACACTTTTGAGGGCCAGTGTGGAAATATTTCTGCAGAGGACTGGATCAGCACCGCTGGGGTCAGTGGTGGGAGATAGCTCAGGGTAAATGCTTTACAAGGAGAAGGTCCTATGTGCAGCCCCTACACCTCCAGCTAGAAGGAGCAGGTAGCAAGTCATGTAAAAGATCTCTGCTTTCTATCTTAGCCACTGCCATGTACAAGCTGGGATACATTGGACAGAACAACCTGCTCTAAGTTAATGTCTTGTGCTCCTTTGATGTAAACCAGCTCCCTGTGTTCCTTTGAGCCTGCACTTGTCTCAAATTTTGATGTGGTGACTAGATTCTCCTAAGCCATTGCTGCCTCCTCTCCAGTCCAAGCTCTCCTGCTGCCCGCAGTTATGCATACTCTTCATGGAGATGTTGCAAGCAGATTTGTGATGGTTGTTGTGAGGCAGGAATTTCCTCCTGAGTAAACACACTACTCCTGAGTTGCTTTTCCACAAGATTTTATTGTTCCATATCTCTAAGTTCACTCAGAATGACTTGTTGAGCCCTCTTTGACTCCCCTTTGCCTTCCTCATCTCTATATCCCTTTCATCTACATATCCACAAATGGAGCACTGCAAAACCTAGTCCTTTTGCAATCCTTTCACTTCTCAGTTAACTGAATTTCTGACCTATGCTGTGTCTGAGCAACTGGTGTCACTTCCTCCTGATGTGAAACCTGTCCAGCCCCTGTTTCTTCCTCCTGGTCTTCTATTCATAGATCTGGGTTCTTGTCAACCCTGGCTGTCAACGTCACTTCCTGTTCTGCTATCTCTTAGTTCCCAGGGGCCAGTTGGCCATCACTCCCTTTGTCCTGGACTGGTAACTCCTCTCCTGTTTCCCCAGACTTTCCTTGACCTTGATCTGATACTGGGTCTTACTGAAATACCACAACCATCTCGTCTTCACTGTCAGAGTTTGCATTCCCATCAAAACTGTTTCAGTAACTGTTTCTGGCACCTTGTCCTTGTTTCCTCACACGACAATTGCAACTAACCCACACATTGGCGGAATTTGCCATTTAAGGCAGTTGTCTCAATCTGCCTCATTTTTATGTGTATTCATAGCTGACATTGCATGGCCTAAATTCATATTTTGATTAAACTCTGGGCTCCTTTTCCATGTGTGCAATGGAGTAACTTAAAACCTGGAAATCCTACTTTATCATCACCCTTAGGAACCCAGGACCCTGCTTCCTCTCTAGTCAGACTGCAGGTCCCTCTAACCTGGTATTTGCCAGCACTGACTGGCAGCCACTCTGTAGGGTTTCTGGCAGGCTCCTTTCCTAGGCATGCCAGGAGATGGAGGGGATTGATTCTGCAGGCAAGACTGGGGCTCTGTCGCTGAGCTACGATCCTTTCTTGATGGAGTGCTGGCTGAGTGATCGGTATGGCCTGGGCTTAGGATAATTTGCTGGCACAATATCTCTAGTAATAGGGTCTTTGAACACAGGAAAATTTTCTTTGGCTACGCACAACTGATTTCAGCTTGACAATCCTACTGATGTAATGGACTCCAGATGAACTTGTGGCAAACATAGCAAAGCATTCGCTTCACTGGCTCATATTCTTTAAATCTTTCTGCTGGGAATG